GGGTGAGGAACGGGATCCCACAGGATCCTAACCTAAGTGAAACCATGTCAGAAACCGAAAAGATGCATTGACTAAGGTTGGTTGGGGTACATGAACCTAACCCTAACTTCTGTACACCAAATGACATGCATCACCAAAGGCTACAACATTTGACTTCCGTTACCATTGTAGCTTTGCTATATAATCTTCGCTCATCTTTTCGCTTGATGTATTGTTTGCTTCGATAGTGCAATTCTCATTCTCTCACTCAATTGCGCACATACCATATGGTATTTAGAGCCTATGATCTCTTCACGGACCACACCCACGCCTTCGCTTCCCCACCATTTCAATTTTTGGAGGGGGTAGACGTCCCAAGCACCGCCGCTCGAAGTGCTTTCTCGTAAGCACGCACGACCACGACTAAGGCTCTTGCTGAGCTCGCACGACACCCTCGCCATGGCCGAATTCACTCTTGCGACACTGACGCAGGAGCGCCTCGACAAACTCGTGCACCAACTCGAGGAATCGGCGCTCGAAATCGCGACGCTCACGGCGGAACGCGACTCCGCCCGACAGCAATCAACGACAAATCAACCACCACCAGCACCAACACCTGCAAATGCAACTGCGCAATCATCTCCCTCTTGCACCAATCAATGCTTGGCATGGAGAGAACCAGGGCCGTTCCGACGGTGAATGCACCTCGCGAAGCCCGTCGTCACGTCGGATTTGGGACATCCGCGGGCAACGACGACATTTGCGAGCCAATGCCGCTCAAGTCGCAGCGCCCGCCCTGTTTCGACCCTAGCCAACGCGGAGGTCCGACGGTTCAATCGTGGATCTTCACGATGAACGTCTTCTTCGACGCCAATTACGTCACGTCGGATGCAGCGAAGATTCGATACGCGGTTTTGCTGCTGCGAGGCCCCGGCATGGACTGGTGGCGAGTCATTGTGACGTCGCCACGTGCCTACGAGCCGCCGTCGCAAGAGGGAGAACCCACGTGGCCCGGCCGTCACCTGGAGTTCGTTCTGCGAAACCGCTCAGTACAGCACGTGGGATGCGTTGTGCGAAGGGCTTCGGGCCCACTTCGAGCCGATTGCGGCTTCAATTTCGGCACGTCAGAAACTGCGCACTTGGCGACAACTCAAGTCGGTTCAAGACTACACCAGCGGTTTTCTCGCACTATGCATTATGCGAGCAAGTCGGCTACATGCACGAGGCGGAGCGAGTGCATCGTTACGTCGGCGGGCTGAAGTCAGACATCTCGCACGAAGTAATGCTTCGCAGGCTTTCACGAAGTAAATCCCCGTGCTCGTTGAGAAAATCGACATCCTACGCCGTCCGAGACCGGGGTCCTACTACGGACATCGCCCTCGGGGACCGGCTGAGCACGCCACCGTACATGCCGTTGCGGCGAACGCAGCTGCTGGGCCGTTCAAGGGGCGTTGCTTTGCATGCAATAGGACAGGCCATTGCAAGAGCGAATGCCCAGAGGAGCTAAGGCGCCGAGGAGCAGAGCAGGGGAGGGAGTCTCACAGGCAAGGAAACGCCAGCGGTCAGGAGAGAACGGGTCCACTACTGACGAGGCTAACTGCTCACTCGAACTCATTGACCCTCACCGAGTCACAGTACCGATTCACGCCATCGATCGGGCTCAAATGAGTAAGGAGGGTTCAGCAACGGATAGCCCAATACTGATTCACGGGAAAATACAGGGGGTAGCAGTGAAAATTTTTATAGACGGAGGAGCAAGTCACAGTTTAGTCACAGCTAAACCACACGGAAGCTGCAACTGACGCTTAGCCGATGTTTACCGGAGATCGACGCACGCTTAGTTGACGGCACACCACTGGTTATACGGGAGAAAGTGGAGAGAGTGAAAATTCACTGCGGCGGAAACTTCGGGTGTACACAGGAAATGCTCGCGATAACACTGGATGGGTGCGACATTTTACTGGGACGTGATTGGCTGCGACGCTACAACCCGCGAATTGACTGGACGACGGGTAGCTGCACTGTGCAAAGGAGTGGTAACTGGGTTGAACTACCTTGCTGGCGGTTACCCGAGTCTTCAACGGTCCACGTCAACGCCATCACGATGAAACGGGCTGTCGCCGCTGGAGCTGACGTGTACGCAGTGGACATCGCCGTGGTAGGAGAAGCAGAGGTGCCGAGCGATTTTCAGAAACTGTTAGCAGCCGAACCGCTCGAGCTACAGGAAGTACTGCAACGATACCCGGGGATTTTTCCCGACGACTTACCAGAGGGACTGCCACATAAGCGTGCACACGACCACCGCATAGAACTAGAGTCAGAGGCAAAGCCAACCGTACAACGACACTTCAGACTGACACATCCCGAACTCGACGAACTGAGGAAGCAGTTAGATTACCTGTTAGAGAAGCAGTTCATCCGACCGAGCTCGTCACCGTTCGCCGCACCGATACTGTTCACACCGAAAAAAGACGGAGGGTTCCGCATGTGTATCGATTACCGCGCACTGAACTGAGTAACTATCAAATCTGTGGAACGTCATTTCGGAAGCTGGCATTGTGATTGACCCGAAAAAATTTAGACATGGTAAAAGCGTGGCGTCCCCCGACCAACATCACGGAACTGCAAAGTTTTTTAGGATTCGTTAATAACGTCCGTCGGTTCGTCCCCGATTACCGATACACGACCGCGAAATGCTTGCGATCATCCACACATTCAAGGTTTGGCGCTGTTACTTGACCGGCGCAGACGTGACAGTACGGATGGACCACAAATCACTACAGTACCTCCGCGCACAGCCCCACCTCAACCCACGACACGTCCGTTGGCTCGAATTCCTCGAGTCAAATTTTCACTACACGGTCACCTTCAAAAAGGGGGCATCAAATATCGCCGACGCAATGACTCGCCCCACTACCCAAATTCACGCCATGCTTCTCGCCTAGACCAACCCACTGCTCACAGGACTATTTACCCACGGTTATCAGACAGACCCATTCTTTGCCGGAGGCAACTCGCAGCAGTTCGCAGCAGCAAAAAGGGTCTATTACGTAAAATCCGGCACATATCGCATCTGGGTACCGAGGTACACTTTACTAAGGGAGCTACTACTGCAAGAGGAACACAATGAAGTTACCTCTGGTCATTTTGGAGTAGAAAAAATACGACAGCAACTGCTGCGGTATTACTACTGGCCCGAAATGCTGACCGACGTGCAACGACACGTGGCGTCGTGTCCCACCTGTCGGCTCATGAAGTCTTCACGACAGCGGCCGGCAGGACAGTTGCAGCTGATACCACCCCCAGAGCATGCTTGGCAACAGGTGACGATGGACTTCGTCACGGGGTTATCGACTGGAGCAAGTGGGAACGACGCGATCCTGGTCGTCGTCGATCGGCTGATGAAGATGGCACATTTTGCGGCGTGCAAGAAGTCAATCCAGCCGAAGAAACCGCTCGGCTCTTCATCTTCACCGTCATTCGACTGCAGAGGATACCAGCAGCAATCATCGCGACACGAAATTCACCAGCAACTTCTAGCAGAACCTGTGGCAGAAGTTCGGCACGCGACTACAATTGAGCTCATCATAGCACCCCGAAACAGACGGACAGACAGAACTGACGAATCAGACAATGGAACAGTTAATCCGAGCCACGTGCGACGACCCGACCACGTGGGAACAGCAACAGCCTCTCATCGAATTCACATACAATAATTCCCCATCAGTCACCGTTTTACCTGAACTACGGACAAGACCCCACAGTAACCATTACCTCGAATCCCGACAACCCGGTACCACGCACGCAACAGTTTGTAGAAATTTTACAGGCAGCACGGACCCAAGCAGCAGACGCAATAAAAAAATTGCTAAGCGCAACGCGGAGCGATCGCCACCACCGACCCGTCACTTACCAGCCCGACGACCTTGTCCTACTTGACACTCAGAACCTCCGCCCGCACTTCACCCCAAAACTTCGCCCCAATATTGCGGGCCATTTCGCATCAGCCATATGATCACTCCTGTCACTGCCCACCTTCTCCTCCCTACTGACTGGTACGTCATGTCAAAACATTATGTTGTGTAGGCTGTAGTGGGGTAGCCCATAAGGGGTACAACCCAATTAGGGTTAGTACTTGTACTCACTTTGATCTCAATGCATTCATTCTCGTTCTAGATTCTGACATGGTTTCAGAGCAGGTCTTGTTCCAGGACCGTTTTTTTAGGGCCCACCGAATAGTACCCTGCCCGTCGCGCTGCCCCACCAGTCGCGCTGCCCTGCCTTGCCCTGCGTAGCGCCGCCCGCGCATGCCCTGCCCTGCGTTGCGCCGCCCCGCGCACGCCCTGCCCTGCATCGCGCCGCTCTGCGCGAGCCCTGCCCTGCGTCGCGCACCCCGCGTCCGCCCTGCCCTGCCCTGCGTTGCGCCGCCCCGCGCACGCCCTGCCCTGCGTCGCGCCGCTCGCGAACGCCCTGCCCTGCCCTGCGTCGCGCTGCCCGCGCGCGCCCTGCCCTGCGTCGCGCCACCCGCGCACGCCCTGCCCTGTGTCACGCTGCCCGTGCACGCCCTGCCTTACATCGCGCCGCCCGCGCACGCCCTGCCCTGCATCGCACCACCCCGCGCACGCTCTGCCCTGCGTCGCGCCGCCCGCACACGCCCTGCCCTGCCCGTCGCGTCACCCTAGGGCCCGCGCACCGCCCGGATCTGCCCGTCGCGCCGCCCCCCGTGCCCGCGCGCCGCCCTACTGGCAACGCGCCACCCTGCTAGCAACGCACCGCCCTGCCCTGACCACATGCCGCCCTTCCTTGGCCGCGCGCCGCCCCGCTCTGGCTTGCGCGACTCCCTAGTGCTCGCGCGCCGCCCGCCCTGCCTTGCTTGCGTGCTTCCCTGCTCTGCCCGTTATGGCCTCTATTAGCGTTCTCACCTTCGATTCTGAGGGCCGTCCGATCCAGTTTGAGACCTGGCTAGAAGACTTACAGCTGTACCAACTGAGCGAGTCTAGGGACGGTGTCTCCCTGACCACATGTCTGGTTCCTCTCTTGCTCCTCCTAAGAAAGCTGATAGTGCGATTCGCTCACAGTGGCTTACCGGCAATGCTACTGCTCGCCTCTCCGTTCGCAACCACCTACCATTAGCCGAACACGTGCACTTTAGCCAGTACAAGACTGCTAAAGCACTGTCTCACGTTGAAGTCGCGCGTTACTCCTCCCCTGCCACTGCTGCTCTAGGTTGACTCATACTGCCCTATCCTGAGCTGTCAGTCTTTTCCACAGTCGACGACCTCATCACCCACCTTCGCACTAGCGACACTCGCTACCGCGCCGCGCTTAAAACCGAGTTTCTAGACAAGACCCCCCCCCCCCTCCCTCCCCCCTCCCCATGTACATCACTCTCTACTTCATCGTCACCCGCCTCCCTGACTCTCTTCGCGCAGTCAGGGACCACTTTCTCGCCCTTGACCCCACAGACCTCACTGTCGACCTGCTTGAGAAGCATCTCCTTGCAGCTAAGACTAGCATAGTCGCTGTAGCTGCTTCTCGTGGCACTCCTCGCACTCCCTTCTTTGAGGGGTGTTCCCCCTCCCCCCTTGCCCCCTCTGTCGCTTCTGCTGCTGCTGTTGACTTCCTTCATGCTGAGAAGGTCTATACTGCGTCTGCTCCTAGTGGGGGGCGCTGTAGTGGCAAGGGCAAGGGAGGCAAGAGTGGTGGGGGTGGCGGCAGTGGAGGTGGTGGTGGAGGCGGTGGAGGCGGTGGAGGTGGCGGTGGTGGCGGTGGGAGTGGTGGTGGGGGTGGAGGCGTCGGTGGCGGCGGTGGTGGTAGCGGTGGGAGTGTTGGCGGCAGTGGTGGCAGCAATGGGGGTGTTGGCGGCGGCAGTGGTGGCGGTCGGGGTGGAGCGGTCCAGAGGGGAGGTTCTGGCGGTGGCCAGAGGCAGCAGCAGCAGCGTCCGCGCGAGACCCTTACGCCCCAGAAGCTTTGTGAGTGGTTTGCTCAGCGTGGGGCGTCTGGGGGTAGTGTTCGCTGCCCGTATGTCATTCGCACAGGTGATCGGGCTGGTCAGACATGCGGGAAGGTTGGTCACACCCAGTACCGCTGCTTCTCCCGCCTTGACGACGCCTGGCGCGCAGAGTTTGGCGACGAGGCTGAGCTCCCCCACTGGCGAGAGTTGCTTAGGACCGATGTAGATATCTTTGCTCTTGACTATGATGCTATTCTTGCTGCCATGTATGCTTTGACTGTTAGTGCTGAGGGTGACTGTTACTTGTGTGTGTTGCCCGACCCAGGTATAGAGGTTGCTGCTCTAGGTGCTAGTGCGTCTGCTCTCTCTGGTACATCGCCTGCTGAGGCTTTGCACACCTTCACGCTTGACTTAGGTGCTTCCTGCTGCTTCTTTCGCGACAGTACCACAGTCACACCACTCCCGGCACCTGTTGCAGTCTCACTGGCCGACCCCTCAGGGGGCTCGGTTTTTGCACGTCCCTCCACTGTTCTCCCGTGTCTGGCAGTTCCGTCCGGTTCACTCTCAGGTCTTCACCTCCCCTCGTTCTCTACGAACTTGGTGAGCAACGCTGTTCTCCAGGATGCGATGGTCACTACCACCACTCCTGGGGGTCAGCGTGTGGCGATCTGCACGTGTGCACGGACGGGCCGTCACCTGGCCACGTTCACCCGTCGGCCAGGGTCGAGCCTGTACACACTGACTACTGCGCCTATACAAGTGGCTACGTCTGGTCAGGTGTCCGCGTCAGGTCAGGTAGCAGCCCCCTGTTCGTGTCGCCTCCTCACGCACCAGACTCTCCTTTGGCACCACCGCCTTGGTCACCCCTCCCTGCCACGCCTTCGTGGTATGCGATCCCGCCTCCTTGTCTCTGGTCTTCCCAGGTCTCTGCCTCCCCTCCCGCCCTCGCCTGCGCCACCCTGCCTTCCTTGCGTCGAGGGGCGGCAGCGCGCTGCTCCTCACTCCTCCTCGTTTCCCCCGACGACTGCTCCCCTGCAGACTCTCCACATGGACGTGTGGGGCCCAGCCCGTGTCCGTGGACAGGACCAGGAGCGGTACTTTCTGCTGGTTGTTGACGACTACTCACGTTACACCACGGTCTTCCCCTTGCGCAGCAAGGGGGAGGTCCCTGATGTCTTGACCCGTTGGACGGGGGAGGTTGGCGATGCGTCGGTGTTCCGGGTCTGTGGCTCTCGTGCCTTTGTCCACGATACCACCGCGGACAAGCTCTCCTCTCGCGCCATTCCCTACGTCTTCCTTGGCTTTCCCCCTGACGTGCCTGGCTGGCAGTTTTACCACCCCACCACGTGCTGTGTTCTGTCCTCTCAAGACGTCTTGTTTGAAGTGTTAGTTCCCTTTTACCGTCTCTTCCCCTACCGCACTACCCCTCCCCCCCCCCCCCCCCCCCCCCCCCGCCGCTCTTCCTCGCTCTAGGTCCCCCTCCGGTTTTTTTTTCCCTCAGGGTCCTACTCCTTCAGGTGTGTCTCAGGTAGACCCACTCCCCTTGGCTGAGCCTTTCGAGGTCACTTCCGACACCTCTGGCTTAGCTGAGGGGGGTGACGTTGCTGCTGACGACGCGGCGGCCCCCCGCCGCTCACCACGCTTGGAGACCCCTCCGGGTTTTCCACCTCGACCGTCTTCGCCGCCTTTGCAGCCGGTTGATGTCGACTCTGGTGCTGCTGGGGTTGGTGCTGCTAGGGGTGCTGCGTTTGGGGGTGCTGAGCCTGGGGGTGCTAAGTCTGCGGGTGCTAAGCTTGGGGGTACTGAGCCTGAGGGTGGGGAGCCTGGGGGTGCTGAGACTAGGGGTGCCGAGTTTGAGGGTACTTCGTCTAGGGGTGCGGAGCCTGGGGGTGCTGAGCCTAGGGGTGCTGCGTCTGCTGGAGGCCCTACGGGTGCCTCACCGTAGCGGTCTGGCCGGCAGGAGCCTCTCTCACCACAGCAGCTGCGCGAGTGGTTTGCTCAGCGCACCCGCCTTCGGAGTGGCGCTACAATAGCTGGAGGCCCTGCCGCTGGAGGTGCTGAAGCCGGAGGCGCTGGAGGTGCTGGAGCTGCTGGTGCTGGAGGTGCTAGAGCTGGAGGTGCTGGAGCTGGAGGCGCTGGAGCTGGAGGTTCTGGAGCTGGAGGCCCTAAAGCTGGAGTTGCTAGCGCTGGAGGCCCTGGAACTTGAGGTACTGGTGCTGGGGGCCCTGTGCAGCAGCGACCGTTTTTCTTGCCGCCGCCACAGCCGTCCCTGCTTCCGCCTGCCTCGGTGCTTCATCAGGTTCTTAGTCTTCCTTCGTCCACTGCCCTTCCTCCAGACACACCGTTGCCTGCCCCCCCTCGTTACACTGAGCAGCCAACCCCCCTTAGAGAGCATCGTAATCCTGCGTCTCGTCCTGTCACGCGTCCGCGTCCTCCCCCTGTGCCAAGTACTAACACTATGGCACTTCGTCCTTCCTCTGTTGCACTGCGAGTTCCCCTACTGTCTCCTTCGACGTCTTCGCTTCCTGACGTTCCGGACCCTGAGTCTGACCGTGTTCGTGCTGCTAGTCCCACTGTCACACGTCTCCTAGCCACTGTTGTCACTGACCTGTCGTTTGAGTCTACTGCTGCGTCTGCCTTAGTTGCTGAGCTTGTGGACTTTGCTGATGCGTGTTGTCTAGACTACACCGCTAGTCTTATTGCTGAGTCTGAGTCTGTCTGTCCTCCGTCCATCGGGGGTGAGTGTGCTCTTGGCACGGACGTCCTTGAGGACAGGCAGGAGGACTTTGAGTGTCTTGCGGCTGCTGTACCTCATCTCGTGGCCATGCTGCTTGCACCTGAGGGAGACCCGGATGCACTGGACATCCCAACCCCGCGCTCTTACGCAGAGGCGATTTCGGGTCCCTACTCCAGCATCTCAGTGGCAGACAGCCATGGACGCAGAGATGGCATCCTGGAAGTCCACAGGCACCTACGTCGACGCAGTTCCCCCTCCTGGGGCGAACATAGTCGATGGCATGTGGATTTTCAGGGTGAAGCGGTCGCCGGGTTCTCCGCCTGTCTTCAAGGCTTGTTACGTTGCACGAGGCTTTAGTCAGCGACAGGGAGTTGACTTCTTCCAGACCTTCTCCCCTACCCCGAAAATGACCTCTCTTTGGGTGTTGCTACACGTTGCTGCTCAGCGTGACTACGAGCTTCACTCTCTTGACTTCAGCACAGCTTTCTTACAAGGCAGCCTGCACGAGGAGATCTGGTTGCGCCGTCCTCCTGGCTTCACTGGGTCGTTTCCCGAGGGTACTCAGTGGAGCCTCCGATGGCCAGTCTACGGTCTCCGCCAGGCACCTCGTGAGTGGCACGACACATTGAGCTCTTGGGTTTGCTCCTTCGACTGCTGACCCGTCGCTATTTCTACGCACCGACACTTCGCTGCCGCCATTCTACATCCTCGTCTACGTCGACGACTTGGTCTTTGCCACAGCTGATACTAAGGGACTGGCCCTTGTGAAGTTGGAGCTATAGAAGAGACATACGTGCACAGACCTGGGTGAGCTGCGCAGCTATCTTGGCTTGCAGATCACCCAGGACAGAGCACGGCGCACCATCACCCTGACTTAGTCACACATGGTGCACCAGGTCCTTCAGCGCTTCGGCTTCCGGTTCTCCTCGCCATAGTCCACTCCTCTGCCTACCAATCACTTGCTCTCAGCTCCACCTTCGGACGAGTCTGTAGAGCCGAGTGGCCCATATCCAGAGCTTGTGGGCTGCCTCATATTCCTGATGACCTGCACTCGACCTGACGTTGCGTACCGTCTTGACATCCTGGCACGCTACGTTGCGCCCGGGAGACACCGACCAGAGCACTGGGAGGCCGCTAAGAGGGTGTTGCGCTACTTGTGCAGTACATCGGGCATGGGGCTCGTGCTTGGAGGACGGGGTCCAGTTGTCCTCACTGGACACTCAGACGCCTCTTGGGTTGACGACCTGGCTACGCAGCGGTCGTCACAGGGTTACACTTTCAGCCTTGGCTCCGGCTCTGTTTCTTGGCGGTCTACCCACTCGTCTTCTGTTCTCAGCTCCAGTTGTGAGGCTGAGATCTACGCAGGAGCCATGGCTGCACAGGAGTTACGGTGGTTACCTACCTGCTGACCGAGTTGGGAGAGCGGCCTCGTTCTCCTCCAGTTCTGTACGTAGACAACAAGGCCGCGATTGCCTTGTGTCAGGAGCACAGACTGGAGCATAGAACGAAGCACATCGCTCTGCGTTACTTCCTTGCTCGAGAGTTGCAGCAGCATGGTCAGCTTCGTCTTGCTTACATGGTCACTCGGGCCAACACTACGAAGATATTCACCAAGGCACTTCAGCCTGGTGATCATCAGCAAATCTGTACTGCTCTAGGCCTTGTGCCTGCTTTGTCTCACTTGCTCACTGCGTGACTTTGCTTGTACTGTGATCTAAACATATATATAATCCTGCATGCTTACACTTGCTAGATTGGGATCTCTGTACTGTTTGTTCTCTTTTATATAACTCTGCATGTGAACTAGCCTTGTGGCCATTTGCTTGTGCTCGGACTGTGTGGTGACTTCGTGATCCACCCTAAGCTTGCTTTGCTTTTTTTGACTGGTCCTGTGACCCCTTGTTCTCCCCACTTTGCCTATGGGGGTGTGTAAAAACATTATGTTGTGTAGGCTGTAGTGGGGTAGCCCATAAGGGGTACAACCCAATTAGGTTAGTACTTGTACAAACTTTGATCTCAATGCACTCATTCTCGTTCTAGATTCTAACACGTTAGCCTGTCATTCCACGTCAGCTTGCTTCGTCCATACATGCCGATTGATTACAAAAACACTTTTCTGTAATTCAGTCTGCCAATCTCCGTTATGGTTCAGGTTTTCTAACTGCAGATGAATTGAGTGGTGAGTCTGGTACAAACGAAGTTATGTCAACCATAGTCTCGACCAATGGGAGCAGCTTCTGGTGTTCAAAAGGCAAGTTTGGCTTTCGTTTTTTGAGCAAGCTAATTTGGTGAGTCAGCATCGGTTCACGATGCAATGTTTTCTGCTGCTGCCATTGGCTACTGTTCGAGGTGTCAGTTGCTCATGAGTTTGAGAGAGCAACTGCTCGCGCTGCCGCTGTCAAAAGTTTCTGATTGGTCACTGCTCAAAGCAGCGTGTTCATTATCGTGAATGAGCGAGCAGCTGCTTGCGCTTCGCTGAGTAGCGCGAGCGTTACAGGCTTGCGAATTGTGCGTTGCGCTGGTAGCGAATCCAGCGAAGCATTTGAAGCAGTAAGATCGGTTACTTTTGTTCTGAACAGCACTGACAAATTCGGATGCAGGGGTGTTCACGCCTCGACAGCGAGGCACATGTGGCGAGCACCAGTTGGGTGTTGATTGAGTTACCGACCGAGTTGATTCTGATCGCCACTGACATTTTGACTCGTACAGGTTTCGAACAGACTCAATCGTAACCGTTCGTAAAGGGCGTGAAGTGAAATGTTCGAATTGCCGCTGTCGGAACTATACGCGCGTGATTTTCAAATTATTTCGACAACGCCTTGAGTGCGTGCCAGGTCAGGAAATGAACTGGAGGGAAACTGAAAATGTGTTTGTGCTACGAGCCATCAAACCAGAAACGTAGAAACAGGGTAGGAAATCTAGAATAGACTTAGTTATTGTTTGTTCTTGCTTGTTTTCCAACATATAAACTTGAGTGAAAGGTTTCTCCTACAATTGCTGCAAGAACGCTGCCATAACTTGTTGTCTCGACAACGCCAAGGAAGCAACGACTGCTACTGAACTTCAACTACCACGTCGACTCTCTCTCTACACACTCGAACCGTTGGATAGGGGCTGACCTCGGTCAGGCACCCAGGGACCCTCGGAGGTGACCCCGAGGAGAGAGTTATAGTCGTAGCTGAGGCTATTAGCACTTGGAATAGTGTGCATTCGAAGTAACAGTACTATCCACCAGCCAACTGCCTCGCAACCGCCCAGCCAGCATGACACGACCACCAACAGAGCCGATCATCACACCCAAATAGATACGAAGCCACCGCGTTCGTAACCCACGTGGAGCTCGCATGAACAAGTTCTTGATCCGGTGGAAAGACCGCACATCCACCGAAGACAACTGGGTACCCCTGGACAGAATCGAGGACCACCCTGTCCTCA